ATAGCAGTGATTATGAGTTTCTTCCCCTAGGTTTATTGGATGGAAAATAATTCAGCATAATATGCAAAACTATTCATAAACATTACCTTCTACTGCCTTTATGTAAGCTAAAAATGGATGAGTTTTTTTGGACTTTAGTGCCTATCTGGTCATGCTGTAGCTATAAAACTAACAATAAAAATAGAATGATGAAAAATACAGGACGCACAAAAAAGAGTAAAGTAGACATTTATAGGATAGTATGAGACTATTTCCATAAAATTTTAGAGCAGAAACATCTTCACACCTTCTGAAAAGGCGGCAACATCTCTCAAGTGAGAAAGCTTTCAAGTGCTAAGAAACTGAGAGTCTTTGGCTCCAACATATGGCCTCCATCCTGTGTTTGACTGTGAGCAGGAGGATTTGAGTCCACGTGGATTTTCAGTTAACATCAACAAACTCCATACAGGCGTGAAGGTTTGCCCACACACATGAAGCTGTAGGGATGTGGCCAACAGAAAAAGAATATATAACGGATTGACTGCCAGAAGCTCTTAGTCACCAAGAGCATTGGGCTACATGTTATACATTTCTATGTTCCTAGTGATTACTTCCCTCTCAGATACATCTGTGTTATGAATAATTATTTCCCCTAGAATATTACATTCCCTACTTAACAAAATTGCCAGAGAAAGCCATTTCTGTGACATTATTTGAGAATGATTAATTGATTTCAACATCTTTGTCCAAAAATACAATGAACCATTCAGTGATAGTTTCTAATGGACATTAGATCCTTCATACTGTTCTTCTCTACAACACTTCTTGTGCTAGCTTGTATTCCCTTAAATTGTACTAATGGTTGAGATGAGTCATCAGACCTTATAGATCATCCTTCAACAGCTAAATCAAGCTTCAGCATAATTTAGAGTTCCTACAGGACATCTCTGTGTTATGCCAGGTAATGAGAGCTCAGAGACTGTAGAAGCAGCAAGACAGAAAATGAAGCACAGCCAGGTTCCACACACCACCCCATCCCTCCGTGCCAGGAGCTGCTACATCACATGTCCACGGAAATTCCTTGATACACACGAGTTTCTTGATACCAACTCACACTCTGTTGTTCCCAATGCATGATTTATGAGCTCTGTGTGCAGCCAAATAGGCTAAAGAAGTTACATCATTAACAGGATATGGCTGTGCATAACTTAAGGGCAATGGCAAAGGATGAGCGTGCTCTCAGATCCTGAGAGTTCTTCAGGACTTCCATGAATCTCATCCACGTTAGTTCCAATATGCCAAAATAAGGAGAGGCAATACATCAATTCATTGGAAGACACAAGGATTGAACACACAGCTTCTGTAAGTCATTTTGTTGATGGATTAACAGAAAATGTATGTAGAAACTTTCTTAATCCATGGATATATAGAACAGTAGTATTTCCTTATTTAAATGAGGCATCTGAAAAAGTTTTGAAAATATTTTTTCTTTAAATTGCTGATATTTAAAATCACAAAAAACAGTAACATAGTTATACAAATATCTATGCAAGCAAACGTGGCAGCCATTGCAGCCATTATGGTATCAACAACATCCCATCTACACCTGAGAACATTGATGCCAATTAATCTTTGGTGGTATTCTTACCCAGAAAGGAACTTTTAGAGAT